CTGAGCAGATATGACAATGGGCTTTGTCAGACTCTGCCTTCATAATCTGTGCTGAAAGCCATCATCATCGCTTCCTTACCCACCTCATTTTATCCTGTAAAACATCTGCTTCTTTAAAGAGAAGTTGCCTACTATCTCTTCTAGAAATTGAAAATCATGATTTTCTTTTTGGGAGGAGGGAGGATGGGAACAAAACATGCCTTTTGTGATTTCACCGAAAACTCCACTGCTAATTAAATTAAAACCATATATTGAACACGGGTAGAGAGCAAAAAGGGCAGGTAGCAAATGGGAACATCTTGGACAAAACCATGCTCCTCTGTGAATTCCGATTAGCAATGCTATGTTATTGGCTAACTGTTGAACATTCTGTTCTATTTGAAACAGCTGGGACAGCAAAGAAGTCTGTTGTCTTACAGAAACCCAGTTAGGCCTGACGAAAGAAGCTGTGGAATGCTTCTGTTGTGTATACAACGTTGTGTCTGATTCAGCACTGAACTGAAGTCTCCCTATGTATTTGTAGATCAGGCTCCGTCCAGTTAACTTAGGAAGCTCTATACAACATTGCATTATGCTCTCAGCAATTGTTGACACTGGTCCTGCTGAAAATCTTGATGGGTTTCTAGAAACCTGATCCTTTTGAGCCTGGTGATGGCCATTGGAGTAAACAGTGGGCGATGAGTCTCCTTCTGGATTGAAAGGGAATCTGACTTGCACACTTTCTACTCTATCCCTTCTCCCCCACCAGCAGCAGTGCAGTCGTATTGGATGTCTCACTGCCTTCTGACATCAGCAAAAACATGAGCGAAGCAGGCTACCAACACGGTTCTGCTGTTCCAACAGCTATTTGTCTGTCAACAGTAATACAGTCAGGGTTCTACAACTGTAATGCTAACAGTGATTCTTTTCCAAACAGATGAGGATAAAACACTTCCGTGTACCTTGTCATCATGAGCCTCTTTTCAAAAGACTTTAGAGCATCTTTCTTCTCTGGACTTCCACTGCTGTTTATTGGGATCGACTTAAAGAAAAACTTTTTTGGCTGTGCTGGGCCTTAAGGCAGCCCCTGGCTTTCTCTAGTTGCGGTGTAGAGTGGAGCCCTGGCTCTAGAGTGCGCGGGTTCAGTAGTTGTGGTGTGAGGGCCTATCTCCCTCGTGACTTGTGGGATCTTAGTTCCCCTACCAGGGATCGAACCTGTATCCCCTGCATGGAAGGTGGATTCTTAACTACTGGCTCATCAGGGAAGTCCCATAATGGGGTCATCTTTACAGCATTTATCTCTTTCTCCTTTGTACTACAGTTATCTGAATTCCCAAGGATTGGTAATAATTTTTCTTATTAAAATGCCATCATTCTCTCCACCTTCCAGCACTGCATCTTGTGCACAGTGGAAACTCAGTATATGTTTGCTGGCTGTTGTATTCAGCAACAACAGACTTGACGATCTTACCTTAAGCACAGAAGCTCTCAAAGGCAGAGATCTTTGTTTTGTTCACTGATGTGATTCCCATGCACCTAGAAAGTTCCTGGCACATGGCTGAAACTCAACAAATATTTGTTGAATGAATGGATAGTATTAGGACTTTACAAAGAGCTTGCACAGTATGTATTTGACTGATAAATGAAGAGAAGAGAACATTCTACATAACATGTAGAGGAAGTAAGCATAGCTTGGTAAAAGTCTCCTTTCTCCAGACCAGGAGTTGGCAAAATTTTCCCAAAGAGGCCCCGATGATAAACATACAAGGCTTTGCAGGCCATACAGCTTCTGGAGCAGCCACTCAGCTCTGCCATGCGCATGAGCGCTACCACAGACAACACACGAATGTGTGAGCGAGGCGGCTTCCCAAGGAGACTTGACTTGCAAAAGCAGTCAGCAGGCAAGATTCGGCCCATGGCTGGTAGTCTGCAAAACTGTGCTTAAAACAACTGTATAGAAATTATCTATAAGGATTAATATGACAAATAGCTATTCTCTTCTTGCCTTCTGTATGTTTATATGTGCTGCCAACCCCATCTCCAACAGGTAACGCACTGCTTTGGCAATATAGTCTGTACAGAGTTTGAGCAAACTCTGGGAGATAGTGAAGGACAAGGAAGCCTGGCATGCTGCAATCCATGGGGTTGCAAAGAGTTGGACATAACTGAGTGACAACAACAACAAATCAGAGGCAGCTTCTCTGATTATCCAGGAAGCAAAGAAATTAACAATTAAAATCACTGCCCATATGACCTTATTTCTTTTGAAGTTGCCCCCTTTCATTCTTAATAACTTATTTTTATAAAAAGCATATAAGCAAATGACCATTGGTATCTATGATTCGCAAAAATCTGCTCTCACATTTTTGTCAATAATGACTACAAAAAATGTGATAGTCTCACGAGTTTTGCATTAGATCACTGCATTATTTCAGGCCAGACATCTGCTACACAGGATAATAATCTACATATTCATCATTGAAATGGATCAACATTTAAAAATGTTTAAGTAGTATTAATGTGGAATGTTATCATACAATGTGCTTTGTGGCTCTTTCCTGTATTTGTACTGTCTATTTGCAAAATTTTCAAACTTATTTCTCATTTTGATAAGTGTTGGCCTCACAAAACCAGGCTTGATTTCCTCTTCAGCTGCAAATGTAATTTTAAAGAGAACTCCAATGAGATTACTTGCTGAACATGTTAAACATTCATACCTTTGCCATATGCTGTTATAGAAATTGCACTGATTTATAGCAATTCGGGTGCCACTAGATAGCATTAAATCACCTGATACTGAGTCTAACTGTATTGGGAAACAAAGTCTTAAATGTTTCATCTGCTTTTAGACCTCTATTGAACTAAGAGGCATATATTGTGTTTCTGTACTTTTGGAGAAAACAGACTTTTATTTATTAAAGATATTGTCCTACATTTGGTGACTTCTAAAAAAAATGAAGGGATAGCAGATCCAAATTGACACTATAATAGCCTGGTGGCCAAGGATATAGGTTCTTGTAGCCAGGCAGATTTAGGTTTTAACTACGATTCAACCACTTAATCGCTCTATAACCTGGTTTTCTTCAGTGGTTAAAAAAAAAAAAAGAGGGTCACTGTGAGGATTAAATGAGATCAGGCACATAAAGCATAAGACACATACAAAAAGAGCAATTTCATGCAGTTTGTTCTAATATGTGCTCTATAATGAGTAGTTATTATTATTAGCTATTATTGTCTAAGTCTTGTTCTTCTGCTTAAGTCAGTGGCACTCTAAGTGGCGGAGAAATGCTTAAGTATATGAGACCTGATGAGAATGTTGGAAGACAATTTAGTGAACTTAAAATTTGCCATATGAGACAACAAGGTCGCTGCTATAGTCAATAATACCAATATAAAGAGCAAAGGTATAAAAAGGCACAAAGTCACAGGCCACCCTCTTTGCAGTAAGGGCATAAATAACACGACATATTGTGTTAAGTTTCTGTTTGGGATGGGGAAAGTAAGGAGCTCATTTTAGGCATGCCAGGGAGGGCTTATGTAAATGAATACTGTCTTTACATCCACTGAGCATTCTGTCCAACTACATTCAGAGGAGGGAAGAAGCACCTTAAAAATAATTACACTTGGCTGAAATAAGTGAATATATACAGTGTAATGAATATGCATACATAGTGAACTTTGTAAGAATATAAAAGCTGAAACTTCCACTTTATTTTCTAACTTGACTTGGAGGGTACTATAGATGGATCCTCTCTAGCTCAGTTCTCAGTGAGAGGGAGAGGGCAGCTCTGCCTCCAGGGGATGCCTAGCAACATCCAGAGACACTTTTGGATGCCACAATTTGGGATGGGGAATGCGACTGATACCCAGCGAGTAGATTCTTAGGGACGCTGCTTAACATCCTACAATGCCTAGGACAGCCTCTGCAACAAAGAATTACCTGGCATACACATCACTAATGTTGGGGTTAAGAAGTTCAACTCTAGGCTGACAACTGTTAAAGGTCAAATGAGTTTCAAGTAACCCATAACCCACATGGGTCTTTGACAGCTTCTAGGGAATGGTAGGCTTTTTGTAATTTAAGTCAAATCTTCCTAGTCTCTTATATGGTCCCCCACTAATGAATCACAGACAGAAGTAGTAATATGGAGCTCTTATCCTCATGAAATGACTGGCTATAAACACTGATCCTAGGAAATACTACATGCTATTTCACCTACTGAGAATATTAGCCCAGAGAGAAGAATAGTCAGACTTACACAGTGAGGAGGGTGGCCGTCCACACTAAGGCACTGACCGATCAAGAGGCCAAGGGTTTCCTGGCTCAGGATTTCTTATTGTTGTTTAGTCACTAAATCGTGTCCAACTCTTTGCGACACCATGGATTGTAGCTGACCAGGCTCCTTTACCGGTGGGATTTCCCAGGCAAGAATATTGGAGCACGCTGTGATTTCCTTCTCCAGAGCATCTTCCCAACCCAGGGATCGAACCCACATCTCCTTCATTAGCAGGCAGATTCTTTTCCCCTGAGCCATCTGGGAAGCCCACCAGGATTTCCTAAGCAGCATCAATTCCCATAGACAAACACCATGTTAAGCAACAATGAAAGTGAGGGTGAAAGAAAGCGAAAGTCACTCAGTCATGTCCTACTCTTTGCGACCCCATGGACTATATAGTCCATGGAATTCTCTAGACCAGAACACTGGAGTGGGTAGCCGTTCCCTTCTCCAGGGGATCTTCCCAATCCAGGGATCGAACCCAGGTCTTCCGCATTGCAGGTGGATTCTTTACCAGCTGAGCCACAGCAGCATACACTTAAAGATTAGTTCTCAGATAAAAAGTTATATACACGATCCCTGAATTTTTATTTTCTACTTCTACAAAACTGAAGATCTATCTGCTACATCAAGACATTTCTTTCATAAGTACCCTTATGCAAATGCTGCGGGGCCTGCTCAGAAAACTGTGGCCATAACCGTGGGTAACACCTAGAATCTGAAAATGTATATAAAGGACATTACTTTGAAGCTTTGGATTCTGTGCTTGGGGTCATCCTGGCACTGCTGAAGAGACTCTCTGTGAACTCGGTATTTCGAATATCTTTCATCAATTCTGTCGGATAAACTGCGGGAACCCTGCAAAAACACGAAAGGGTCTAAATTGGCAGATGAAAGAGAAACCAGAGCTTGAAATTAAGCTGAGAAAGTTTTGATATCTAGATAATAAATCATTATAGGCATTTAGAGAGATATACAGAGGAATCATAGGTTCCCAAGGATAAGGAAAAAGATGGTCACTTTAGATGCTACCATTAAAAATAAAAACAGAGTCCCACAAAAGTTATTGGCATTTTTTTTTTCCACTGGTAGTTCCCATGCCAATTTGAAATGACTGACATCCTTTAGGTGAAGGGAAAAATTTAAAGTAACAGGGTTGTTTGAAGATGGTATTTAATGACACCATGCCACTTTTGGATGGTGTATACTGTCCCTTAGAATTGCACTTAGCAAAAAAAAAAAAATTCTCTTTCTTCAACACACTACCTTTTAACTATTATTTCATGTAGATTTTTAAATGTAAGGATAGCTCATCTTGGGACTTCCTTGGTGGTCCAGTGGTTAAGACTTTGCTTTCCAATGCAGGGGGTATGGGTTCAATCCCTGATTGGGGAACTCAGATCCTATATGCTTCAGGGCCAAAAGATCAGCACCGTAAAATGGAAGCAATCTTATAACAAATTCAATAAAGACTTTAAAAATGTCCACATCAAAAATATCTTATAGAAAAAAAAAAAAAAAAGGAATAGCTCATCTGCCCTCAAAAGCATGTAAAGATTCTGATAATAAATTAAGACAGAAAAAATTACCAGGGTCTGCCTACCTTCCTATTTTTCCTTCTTTCTGGGTAGAGAGGATAGAACACAGCAAACAGTCACCACAGCCTGTTACTTAGACATTTCTTTTTTTTTTTGGCTGCATTGCAGGGCATATCAGATCTTAGTTCCCCAACCAGGGATCTAAACTGGGCAATCCCTGCATTGGAAACCTGGAGTCTTAACCACTGGACTGCCAGGGAAGTCCCCTATGTAGACCCTTCTAGTATGAATTAGGGAGAAATTAAACAGAATTAGGGCAACTGATTTTCATGTATAAGAAAAATTATCTATGGAATTTAGTTCCCCAAATGGCCCCAAATAATTTTTTGAATGTTCAGACAAGAAGGGGTATTAGAATTCCAAAGTTATCATTTTTATTTTTTTAAAAAATTTACAGCCTAGGTAAGTTAAGAATGTCCTGTCCAAGGCTAGGCAATTTGTGGCAGAGTGACCTTGGAACCCAAAGCTGTTCCCTCTCCTCCATATCAAATATGTAATATTTAAATGTAGGATTGTGGTGCTGAACCATTCCTTTCTAAATAAGGATTTAAAAAAAAATGAAGTGGGGTGGGGAGGAAGGGGCAGAGAGAAAGAGAGAGACAGAGACCATGACACTTAAACAAGAATAAAGTCAAGATCATCTAAGATGATATTTGCATTCACATTTAGTTGTCAGAGACTACAGTATTGTTCAAACACATGTAAAATGCATTTTCACATATATGCTAGTGATGCCAGTGTGAGCAGGAACAAGAGATAATGTTCAAATCTCTCATGGATGAGGAAATAAGTTCTAAGATATTCAGTGATTTTGTCTGGGGCAGGAGCATGAACCAGAACTTAGGTCTTTCAACTTGTTAACTGCATACAAAATTTTAGAAAGTTTTAAGGATTTGAAAAATATAATCTACATCTAATAATCTAAAGGCTTTATATATTTTTATTTAAGGCAATGTTTTCATTAATTGATTACATGACCTCTTTTTATCATATAGATGGCTCTAGAGTACATATGGAAGGGGTTTCAGGCTAGAGGTGGTAGGCAAGACAGATGGGCTTTCCTATAAATATGCAGAATTATATCATAGTTTTATATAATCTACACACTCTAAGCTTCAGTCTCCTGAGTAGTAAAATGAGGGAAAATAATGCCAATCTATAATGTGTCTCTGAGGATTTGAAGAAATATAAAATGCTTAGCTTTTGCCTGCTATATATAGTGTGTTAATTCTTGCTACTGAATTTCTTTCCATTTTAAAGGTAGACACTTCCATTTGAATGACTAAAAGTACAATTCTAAATTTTGAAAAACATTCTGTCTCTAAAAATCTCACCACAGAGGCATCTTCCTATGTGAGTGTGCATACACATAAGCTAGATTTGTAGATAATTAATAGCCCACATGATGCAAAACAATAAAGAAATTTGGCAATAGTAGAGAACAACTTTTACATTGTACTTGTGAACATTCTGTTTAATGTAGACCACTGAGGAAAAATGAGCTGTTACCGGAGGTTACGTTTTACATTTTTATACTGGTAAAGACAGGCATCAGTTTCTCAGGTGACAAATGCCACCTGTTTCTAAAACCTTCTCTCTTGCCTGCCCTTCATTTACTTTGATAAGTTCTATTATCTAAAGAGAAAAAAGTGGAAAGGACATGGGTGTAACATATTGTCTCCTTTTCGCACTGGGTCATATAAGGGTGAACAGAAATAATATCTTCTTGTACATTTTTCATAATTCTTTGATAGGGACTGAGATTTAGACTGCAAATATAAAATCAAATCATGAAAAAGAATTGAAACTTTAATAAAGTATACTAGAAATGCTTGGTTTTATTCTGTACATGATATTCAAGATTTCCATAAGTGTCAGCTCAACCTTAGATCCCACTCAAAAATGTTCAGTTACTGAACTAGCAAAATACACAGTGAAATTTTAAAATAGTGTAGACCTTGAAAGATGAATCGCATTAATATCTTCAAGAAATCAATATGGCATGATCTGCCTTATATTTCTTATTCACTATATTCTCAAATATGTTAGAGTTAAGCAGAACCTAAATATAAGCAATCTTTTAAAGCCAATGTGAAATGAACAGGTAAATGTTTTTCAGAAAGAGACTCTCTCACCTTTGTTTGTTCATACAGGGTAAAAAGACCACAGCTCATTAAAACTGTCCACTACACATGCATCCCTAAGGGAACACGTGAGGATGCTGTCTGAGCTGCACCTCGTTTGGCATGACTGGGCGGCAGGGTTATTTGCTTTGCCTCTCTCCTCTATGAGCAACTTAAAAAAAAACTGTAGTAGGTAAATCCACATATGTAATTAACTGGCTTCATAATGAAATCCTTTATGGGTAGAGTTCTATTGATAAATAACATTTGATACAAATATAAAATTCTATGTGGATTTGAACTCATATATTGTCATATAGGGATAACTGTGTACTACTGTATCTCTAAGACAAACAGTACTCTGGAAATTTAATGATTTAATAAAAGAAGATAATTCACAAATGAAAATTGTTCATCAAAAAGTTATATATCACCAATGCACTGTGATATAATTTTAATTCTCAGGTTTTTCTAAATTATAATTAAAGCTTTAGGGGGCCAAATGAGCTTCTGGTAATAGGGTAAAAGTCTCTATTTTCCTTTATTATGCTAATATATAAATTCCACTATTTTCAATCCTGGCTTCACAAATGTCAATAAACTCAGATAAGATTGAGAGCTAAGAGTCTCCAAGCTCTTTGGTTTTTCCTCCCTCCCTACAATTTTCTTTGCACATCAGGAAGATGTCACTTGTTTTCACTCAGATAATAATACTGAAAGGGACAAGCCAACTCTTTCTTACTCGGAAGCCTTTGAAATCTTCTAGTAGGCTCAGCTTCTCAGGCACAGACTCCAGATGGTCCAAAGCCACTCGGGTACTCTAGAAAACAAGGCAAGCAAACATTATAAAAAATTGATCAATACTCTCAGAATCCAACTACTAAAAATCAGTTGTACCACGGGTATAAACAGTTCAAGCTGTAGATTGAGAGAGTCAACTGAGAAGAAATAGTTTTTTCTAAGATAAATATAAAAGTTTTAAAGGAGTATATGAGATGCATTTGCAAACTGCCTCAGATACAAAGCTCTTCCTAGATAACTGCTTTCAATTGATACACTATGAAACTTTCTATAGAGAATTTAATATTAATTCACAAACCTGCTTCACTGCACATCAGAAGCAAATCACAAGGTAATAATGAGAAACAGATAAATTTGCATTTACTTATGTACAGAGCACATTAGAGATCCTTACATGTTGCCACTGTAAAGAAGAAAAGAGCTCTCAACAACTATTTGAGTTAAAAAGGAAAAGTGCAGTTCTCAAAAGACTTGGAAGAAATATCCGAAATTAAATATTTGGCAACAGGGACAAAAGGTCCTGTTGATTACAAATCAATAACTTCTACAGTCTTTGATTAGCTAGTCACTGATTTATACATACCAATATAAGCTCTAAGAGGGAATAACCTGAAACTTATTTCAAAGCCAATATTGAATTAAGAGGTCAAATGTAGAATAACCTTGAGACCAGAGACTGTACCATACACACCTCTGTATTCTAACTCCTGTCACAGGGCAGGCACATAGATAGCTTTTACATTCAAAACAAATTGCAAATATTCAGTGAAATTAAAAGCAAACCCCACGGCTGTGGCATGGGAAGGAAGGGGCCTGCAAGACCCTGCACACAGATTTCTCACGAGCTGTTGAGAAGTTAGTAACCACCCGATGTTCTGAGTGTTCCTCCACGTCTCCCACATGAATGGACCTGCACCAGACTGTGAGTGGAGGTGACAAGTGTCCCTTCTGGACCGAGAGAGAGTTGAGTCTGTGTGCTCCCTCTTCCAGCCTAGATCCTGCCACGAGGACCCCGGAGACCACGTGTTCCAGAGGGCAAGACTACAAGCCAGAGAGCCGCTCACTGTATTGGAACGTAATGGGAATGAAAAAGCAACTTGCACAGTGTTAAGCTGTAAGATTTCATGATTTGTTAGTTACCAATGCATAGCACAGAATTTATTGCAAAAATACCTGAGACTTATATAATCAAACTGTAGGCTAATCAAGTGGTCAGATGGCTTTTTTCTTAAGGGGAGTTCATTTTTTTGGGAACTAGACAGGGTTAGGAACTGGGGTTTTCTTTTACTTCTTCTTCGTGTCCCTGTCTCACACTGATGCTGTTCTCTGCCTTCACTTCTGATTCAGAGCTTCTCCAGAGTATAACCTATGGCTTCCTGCAAGGTGTGTGGAGAGGCACAGATGGAGACAGTTTGGAGGTTCTAACTCTTCCTTGAAGACACTTCCAATGTCCTTATTTCCACTTTTTCCTTCTGCAATAAAAAAGTACCACCAGCTCAAAAATCTTTCTGAAATTTTACAGGCTGAATAAAATTTGCCTTCCAAAGCTCTCCCCTTGACAGGCATGTTAAGTCATTTTACCCTCTTTATTGTTATGAGTCATTTTGCCCTATCTTCTTTGACTTGGAGTTATAGATGTCTTCTAGTTATCAGTGTGTAAACCACTGTTTCTGTTTCTTCATATTTGCATTTCTCTAATGTGATTTTTGAGAGAAGAGTGGAAACATCCTTATTTCTGCTTTTTTGAAATTGTTAAGTTGGAAATGCTGTTTTGTCACTTTCATAACGTTTCAAGTTCTACTTAAACCTCCTTTCCAAGTTCCACTTAAAGGACTTCAGTATTTTGTTCCTCCCCTTAACTTGTACTATTGTTAGTCTTTTTGCAGCAATGTGCTCAATTTAAACTGCCATGCATTTTAAATGGCTTCATTTAATGTTTTCATGTGTAGGACAGATTCATCAAGCCGACATGTTTCTTAGACTCACAGACAATAGAGAACAGACTCGTTCTTGCCAAGGGAAGGTGTGGGAAGGGATGGATTGTAAGTCTGAAGTTAGTAGATGCAAACTATTACATATAGAATTCATAAACAACAAGGCCCTACTGGACAGCACAGAGAACTCTTCAATATCCTGAGATAAACCATAATAGAAAAAATATAAAAAAGACTATATATATATTTATAGCTGAGTCACAGTATGTTGGACAGAAGAAATTAACAGCATTGCTAATGAACTATATTTCAATAAAAAAAATGACATGTTTCTTAGCATAGTCCCTCATGTGTAGATTTAGGAGAACTAGTAGTTTTAGCCACCACATATGCTACATTCATTTAAATAGTAAAATTATAGCTTTCCTCAAGAATTATATTGGTCCTTGAATAGTAAAATACAAATCAATGCCATGGTGATTTTAAAGCAGAATTTTATGCACTGGATAAACTCTTCTTCATAAACTATAGCTTCAGTACAACTTGTTGTTTAAAAACTTCATTTTCATTTTTTCATCTCATAATTTTTCTCATTTAAAAGTGACCCTCTAAACTTGGGTTAAATATTAATATGTTAAACTCATTGTGATTTTAAAATAAGCAAATAATCTTTTCCCTACTGTAAAACCAGTAGGTTATATAAATATTTTTGCTTAGAATTTTCAATCAACCAAGTGATGTATGAAGAGGGTTTTTTTTGTTGCATGTTTACACATACTAGTTTATTTTGACTATTTGATTATGTTTGGGGGTACTTATTCAAATGGTGACTTTTTTTGAGTAAACCTTCAATCTTAAAAAAATTGCTTGGCTCCTTCTTACATACAATTATTTTTCTACTTCTCTCCCCAACCTCCTGTGTCTCAGTTAACATCTTCATACTTTCTCTTTATCTTTTTCAGTTGTGATTATTTTATATTCCATTTATGGGTTGTTTTGCAATATCTCGTTCAATATCAGAAATATTTTCTGGTACACATGTCTTTCTCTCTATCCTTATATTCTAGTCAATCGATTAACGCCAAATGTATTACTAGGTAGCAGAAAAATTCCTAAGATGTAGACAGCACACTTTCTGTTCTGCAGGAACTTTTAATTTACTGGAGGGAGAATATGCATATGCAAAAGATGCAAGAATTAAACAAAGAAAAAAGCTAACTGCATTTATTTTAAGGACATTACATGTACAGATGCTGAGATTTTTAAGGCATCTGCAACAATAAGATCTGAAGTAATGAGGATAATGAGACCAGGTCTGCAGACACCTCAGGTCTCATAATTTTATGACTCAGTGGCGTTGGGGGAGTACATTTATTTTTTGTCCTTCTCTCTCTAGGCATGTAAGTGTGCTTAAACCTACCACTTTCAAATATAGACTTAAGTGTATGCACATTCACGTCCGAACTCTATTTTTTGTTTTGTTTTCTAATGTGAGGTTGGCTGGGATGCTGTGATTAGGGTCTTGTCACATTACATGGCATTTCAAGTTTACTTTCCCCCCAAATCTAACTGTGCTAGAGAGACAAGAAGAGATAGCAGATGGGAAGTCTAAACAGGGTTTGTTGGATTTTAGAGATACCATGAGGACCTATAGCATGCTCGCTCTTAGGGCAAAACACCTCCTGGAGAGTCAGGGAAACTTTTTATCTTTTAAGTTAGTTAATTATTTCTGCCTTACATAGTTGAATGCTTTAAAGGGCACAGATAAGTCTTCTCCGGTAGGATTAAGGAAACAACTTCTCAAGTTTTAATAATGGCACTAGCAAGTGACAGGTGCTTAACCTGTTTTTAATTTCCTGAAACCAATTTCCCAGAAAAACTAAATCAGACATTCACAGAGGGGTTTAAAGATTATTTCTCTTTTGCAAATGTTACAAGATACTAAATTTCGTATCAAATTTGAAAACAAACAGAAATTCACAACTAAGACTCCATTTTGTAAAGATCAATACAACACAAGGAATATAGTATGTGGTTTATCTCAGAGGCTTAAGAAGCTGGACTTCCACTGGCCTAGGAAGCAAATGATCAATTATACCTAATTCTATGACTTAACTATATAAATGTAATTCAATTTTGAATACAATTCTTAATCCTCACACCATTATATAATGTAGATACTAATGTTATCCCCATTTTGCAGATGAGGCAACCGAGGAGTAAAGTGTAAATAACCCTACAGTCACTCACATGGTGGCAAAATTGGTATGTAAACCCAAGTAGTCTATTTTCACGGTAAATCACCAATAGAAAAGGAGAGCAACCCGAAGCTGTAACAGTATGTGCTTTATGTAAATTCCTAATCCCTTGCTAGCCATCAACTCTTAGCAGCTAGAATTTTGAAGATATGTCCTTGGCAAACTTGAACCCAGGAAGAATTTCATTTTGCCAGTTCTGAAGCGTCTGTGCTTAAGACCATGCATCCAATACATACACACACAGGGGTCAGGACATTCTCTCTGTTGATTAAAGGACATTAGGTATGAGATTGAGTTTTATGATACTAACATTTCCTTTTCTTTTTCGCAACATTTAACACTAGCATAACACACAGGCTGCCCACAAGAGATGTTTTAATAAATGCTGGCCTCCTGAAGACAAAGGCAGAGTTACCATGTTCTAATCAACCTACTGAATCCTGGCCTCTACATTAAAAACCTAGAAGCAAAAGTCTGCTGTTTCATTTATTTTCTCTAGACCAAGGATAAGATCCAGTGGTAGGAACAACAGTGAAATTCAGAAATCCTATCTGTTAGGTCTTCCGGCTTTTGCACCTATAGGCATGTTTAAATATCTGTTGGAAAGGGCCATGAATCAACTGGCAATTGTACTATTCCAAAACCTTCAACACACACCAAACTGCTATGGAGCTCAACAGTTCATACTGGTGCACAGAATATTTTTCTTTAGGCGTTCCTCTGCTTCAGACTTCAGCATAATTCAGGATAATACAGAGTGACAACATAAGTAGCAGTTATTAGGAACTAGAAAGGAGCTTCACTGCAATTCTTAAGATTCCTGTCTC